ACCAATATATGTATGTATGTATGTATGTATGTATGTGTGTGTGTGTGTGTGTGTGTGTGTATATATATATATATATATTGTCTGCCTGAAGAAAAATTATTTCCATTTTATTCAGTATGATTTCAATGTTTTTTGTTGATGTTTTTAACTTTAACTATGTATACATACATAAGTGATGATTATAAAGGAAATCATATATTTAAAATGTCCTTGGATAACTAAATTTCCTCATAATAAGGTATGTTCAGGAAAGTTTGGATGTGGTACAGGATGTTCAAAAGTCTTCACAGAAGGTGGTCCAATATCATTTACATCATTGAGTATATCAAGCCTATCTCTGAATCAAGCTTTGCAAGTATTGTATGCTCTGGACAGTATTTATTGATTTTTGTAATATCCTGCTTATTATTATTAATTTTATTTAAATTGCCAATCTTATATTTAGAAGGAGAAATAAAAAAAAGAAATATAAACAGTACTAGTTGGTGAGAAAAGCAGTTTATGTGTGACTATACTATGGTTTTGAAACGTTCTATATTATGTCCAAACTTTGATCAATAACTTGTTATTCTCAATGTGCTTGTGGGATTTTCTATATAATTACACATATATATATATATGTAAATAATGTGTGTGTGTATATATATGTATATATTTACTTATTTATTGACTAATTAATTTTCTGAGAATGCTTCAGTATATTAAATTGAAATCTGTTTAACTTAGAAATAAATAACTTTCTCCTAGGGCAAAATTGGGCCACGGATTATTATCAGGTGATTACTCAAAGCCACCACCAGATGACACTGTTGATGGAAATATTTCAAACAAAGTAAGATTTTGGCACTTAATGTGAATGTAATTCAGTTCCCTAAAAAAAAAAAAAGGAATTCCAGTAGGTATTTATCCCATCTCACTCCATACAGACAATTTGCATTGTTAGTTGAACAAGTATAACACAATGATAATGACCTCGTCTGGATTTGCATCCGCTCACAGATGCTTCTTTCCAAGGTTGGGAAGCATGGGTACATCAGCAGGAGGCTTCTAAACAATGGCCTCAAATCAAAATGTCTTAACATATCAATATCTAGGAGCTTCTGGTGGTATGGTATGCTTTGGTTCATTTTCTCCCTCTGCTACTGAACCAACATGTCATGCTCCATTCTGACAATTCCACCATTGTGGCTTATATCAGTCACTGAGTGCATACTCTTTCCTTTTTCCTTTGTGGTTGAACTTTAGAACTCCTTTATTTGGCCCGCATGCTACTGATAAGCTTCTTTGCATGTCATATTCCTGGTGCTTTTAACCTGACCAGGTTTATCCCAAGGAGTGGTCTCTGTGTGCAATTAGTGGAGTACTCCTCATATGGATGTTTTTGCCACTTTACTGCAACACCAAGTTACTTATTTTTTTTTGGTCTCAGGTTCCTCATCCTTAAGCCCTGGCAGTGAATGTTCTCCATCAGAACTGGACCAAACAGTATTATTGGCATTCTTTCCAGTTTCATAGACTGCCTCATTGTGCAATTCTTCTGCATTGTAATGTCAGTATTGTTCTTCACTCCTTCTGTTTGAACCTTGTCCATTTGTTCCCTGTTTCACCTATTTGTTCAGACTTATTCCTACTCCTTTTCACATACTTTTTTCCATTCCACATATGTTCTACTTTATCCAGACTGATCTTTCCTACTCTAAACTTTGGTGGCTCATGAGGGACATTCTTCCTTTTAGCCAATTTCACTTCTGTCCATTTCCCACCTTTATTTCTCGTCTCACCTGGATAGAATTCTATGTCCAGTACACGCTCTTTGTTGTTATGTTTCCCACGCTGCCTCCTTTAGTGGTTCCTGTTTCCACTTTTTCACTCCTGGCACCATTCATCTATACATGACCTTTCTCCTTCTACCCTTCCAAACTGGGTTCATCAACTGATTCAGTTGGTCTATTACTCCCTGTTTCTTTCTTCACAAATTCTATTCCAGGAGTCATCACATCAGATCAGGCACCTTATGTTTTTTCTTGGCATCTCACCTTCTTCATCCATTGGATGAAATTCTTCAGTCAAGTATGTGGACTACACCTCATACACTCATCTCTCACTATATTCATTTGGTAACTGTTTTTTCTTGTTGGGGTACTGCCTTCGGCCTGTCATTATCCTTTAAACAGGTGCAACTATGACTGTAAGTTATCTATTCTCTCTCTCAATATTTTCCTCCAGTGGCATGTCCCATTTAGGATCCCGCTCAGTGGTGAGTGTTGCCTGTCCAGGTATGCTTCCTATCTTTTAAATACATTCTTTCTTTCTTTGCATTGTACACACACTGTTGAAATGAGGTGTTCTGTAAGATCACTGATAGGTTTTCCTCACAATATATGTACTTCATAAATATGTCCATTCTGGACCTACTAACCCATGGACTTCAATGGGTAAAGCAGAAGGGGATAGCTGCCCACCTGCCATCACTTCAATTGAAAAAATCAATGGTGGTCTGCTTTTCAAAATAGGGTTTTTTGTGGTCACCTGTTGCACAGTTTTTGGTGTTTGTGTTCCTCTGGACCCTCCACTGCATTTGTCTCCCCTTGTTTTCTAGTGGAGTATGGGAGTCCTTGTCATATTCCAGTTCTGAGCCACTGAGGTGGTGAACCATAGAGGAGTCTTCCTGAATGTGATCGCTTCCATTCAGGTTAGAGGATGGTAGTGGTATCTTTCATTGTTGTAGATAGCATTCAATTTTTCAATGGGGTTCTGGAGACTGATGTTACATCCAGCTTTTATGTAGTGCTATCCAGAGAATAATGTTGTACATATCTGCAAATATATATGCTCCACCACTGTGTGGTGGACCCTGGAGGTTGATGTTGCACAAAGCTTCTGTACTGTTCTGTTCGGAGGGTGCAGTTGCTTATATTTTACAGATGCGATCCACTTCCATGCGGTGGGACCTGTAGATTACAGTTGTGCTCCAGCCTTTATTTGGTACTGTTTGGAGCATGATGTTGTGATGTTGCTTTAGAGTAAATCTGTCATGTTGCTGTTTACCCCTGCGCTTTGGATCCCTCATCTCCCTGTTGCCTGGATGTCTGTTTGTAGTGAGTGGTTTTGGATTCAAGCTGAACCAATCAATATAAACCTTCACATGTGTTGGTTGTGTTCCTCTTCCTCACTCAATATGCCTCATGATCTTCCCTTCTGTACAGTGAATCCCAGATGTTGCACCTAGCTTCTGTGCAGTTCCATTCAGAGGGTGAGATTGCCATATATTTTTATAGGTGATCCACTTCCATGCGATGAGACCCGGAAGGTGGAGGTGTGTTCTGGCTTCTGTGAAGTCCTATCCAGAGGGTAATGTTGACTGGGGTGATGGTTCTCCATCTTGCACTCCACCTCAGGCAGTTTTCACTGCCTGAGGCTGATGTTGCACATTGGCACATCTCTTCCTACTGTCATTCAGATGTATGGTTGGTTGGAGATTCTATTCCCAATACTGCTTGGATTTGGACTGTAGTTGATCGGGCTGTGTACGGTCCGTCATGCCCTAGCCACTTAGAGCACATCCATTTGAGTTTTCCCCATATTCCTGTCTTTAGATGGTTCTTCCACAGTCTTTCTTCTAAGGGATTGAGATTCTGGTATACTGGGGTTTGGATTCCAACCAACTCAGTTTTCTCTCCCTTTTTGATTATGCTCCTCCCATTTTCCACCCATGTATATGACACCTTTTTCCATAATGGGCACAGAGTGTACCTGGTACAGAAGTGGTGCGGTCTACCATGTGTGTTCCTCTCCCAACGGGGATCACATTTTAGGGGCGTTCTTCAGATACTTTCGAAGGATGCTTCTTTCTATCCCTCATACCAGTCCCTCTGCCTATTCATTGTGGGATTGTAGCTATCCATGTTAGCGGAGGTAATGTACCGTATCGATTGGTACTTACTTCCATTCACACTTTCCAGCATTCCTCCACACTGAGGAAAACTGGTGCTTCCTTTTCTGCCTAATCTTGAAGTGATAGTTTGTTAGAACTGAATATAATTGTCACATATGTCAGGAGGTTGTGTCACACTCCACTTGATGGAGGGTTGTTGCATGTTGATTGTTGTGTACATGGGAGTTCAAGGCTTGTAGCATGCAAAAAATGTTTTGCATATAGAGGGAAGTACTGAATGAGAATATCTATTCATGTGAGAGAGGTAAGTACTGATCATAAATATATTTTCAGTACAGAAGAAAATAATAACTTTTGTAGAACCCAGTTGGTTGATTTGTAGTGTATTGTTTTTTAGACTCAGATACTATGTATTCTTATCTCTGACAATGGTTAAGATATGTTTTAGCAAGTTCAAATCTTGCTGTTTGAATCGTTAAGGTGTTTCATATTTAGTATTGAAGTATATTATTACTACTCAGTGAATTTGTTAATAAATTAATAATAGAAGGTAGCTTGTATTTTTTACGATGATATGTTCAATTTTCAGGTATATTGAGCAGGTCATGTTTTATGTACCAATTTAATTCAGCACACACAGTAACAAATAGGTATTAAAAGGCTATCATATTGACAAAGCAAGTCAGATTTCATTATATAACCTTTTCATTCTTACTTCCAATTAGACTTTTTTATATGCTCAAATATAAACCAAGTAGCAAGGAAACACATATTGAACATAAAGAAGTGATTGTGCAGTTAGACAACAGTGCACTATTGTATTCAAAACCAAGCTGTAACTCTTAATTTGGCATTTGATTGATGAATTATTGGCACATCATTCAAAATGTTTAGGTACAATGATTTTTTATTTTAGTTTATCATCTGTAATGCTACAACTAAAGGAAATATAATTAACAAATTATTTTGACATATAAGACATGTTTTCAGGTATATCAAAGTTTGACTCCAAATTTAGAGTTGTTTGATAGTTTAAAGCCAATAGGGACTGAAATGATTAATTTGTGCATGTTTAATTTTTTTTAATCACAGTTCTAATAGTTTAAGCTTGTTTTATGTTTCCATTTATAATAAATGTTTAATAAAGTAATCAGCAATACATGATGTGTGCTTGCTATATTACATTCCAGTTATTAATGAATAGTAGCTGTTTTCAGCCTGTAGTCTACTGTGGAATTTATTGCTGACAAGTTGAATGCCCATCATATGATGGGAAATAATGATTAATTTTTCTTCTCAAAATTATATCTAAATAAATGTTTTATGAACATGTTTTCTAAAAATTAATTATAATCTAGTACCAATATATATATATATATATATATATATATATGGAGAATGACTATCCTATTTCTAGTGTTTCATGAAAGCATTTTTTATATATATTTGGTCATGTCCTTTAAGTATTGCTTGATTAGCATTTTGATTTCTGTATATTTTTAAGTTGTGTTCAAGTTGTCTTCTTGATAAATCCTTGTAGACAGGAACATGCAAAAAACTGATTCTCAAAGATATATTCCTACTTGATCAACTGTATGTACCTGCAAATTATTAATTGTGGTGGTAAAGGCAGTGAATTTTATAATGAATTTTGGGTCTTCTCTTTGGACTCTCTTCCTGGTTATGACTTTGTTAGCCAGAAGAAGCATGCTTTAATTTGGGCATTTTAATAACTGAAGTGTTTGTTGCAGCAGAAAGCACTGTCATTTCATGCAAGTTGCGTGTTGATTGGTGGTGTGACAGATGGGTGGCTTTTCATTTTTATATAGTAGATTCCTGCTTGATTACATGCATAAATTTATTTTATGTGCTCTTCCTTTTGTTAATACTGAAGTTATGCTTGATCAAATCCTGTACAGATGTGTTTGTGTCAGTTTAAAGCTGAGAGTATTATTACTAGAGTTAGACATATAAATCTGATTCATATCACTGATTTGTTTCATAGAATTACCATTATTCATAGAACTTATTTTAGTTACATATCATTAATGATAAACATATTTTTGTTTTGTTTTTTCTCTAAATGTTAAAGATGATCTAAAGTTTACTACAAATTACATTGTGGGTCCACAAGCTTGATCCAAGAGTGAATCTGATCCATCCAGTTAATGACTTAAGAAAGAAAATGTAATGGTTATCTATTAATTTATATAAGCCATTGTGCTAAAATTAAATTTGACATTTTATAGTTTTGTTATCAAAACCAACGTTTACATGAACTTATTATTACAGTTGGACATGTAAAGTAAAAATATTTGTATCAGGTAAATGTTTCATTTTCTACACTTCAGAATCAACCTGGCATAAAACCAAGTATGTTTAAGACTTTAATTGGCAGAGGACATCCTGAATTTTCTACAAAACGTCAACAAGATGCTCAAGAATATTTCTTACATCTTGTGAATGTTATAGAGGTATGCCTTAATATATTTGTTTATAAAAAAAAAAAAGTTTTAAACTTGTTAGAATAGATATTTAACTATAAAGTTATTTTAATCAAAATGAAACATAATATTCTTGATATCACATGCATTGTTTTGAGATTCAAGTGGAAACTGACAATTATGATACGAGTATCATGACACTGTGATAAGTTTGTATACACTTATATGTTTTGTTTTTCACTAGTTTAAAAATCTGATTGAAAATGTTCTTGTTGCTTTGAAGTTTTGAATTTTAACTTTACAATTCCTAATTGATTTAAGAAAAAAATTTGATATATACTTATTTAAGTTTAACACTAAAATGAATATATTTATTTCAGTTTTTATAGTCTTGCAAATTGTTAGTGTAATATCTATTGATATTTGTAAATTGCATAAGTAGTTGGATTTGTCTTGAATGACAATGGTGCTGCCCTTATCAGCTGGCTTAATAATAATGTCATTGTCATGTTTCAGTGAAATTAGAGCACCAATTTCACTGTAGGAGAGGCTGCTTCATGCTTTTAAGGTGTAGTTTATGGCTTGAATTACTTCATTCTCAATTGCAGTAATAAAACTTTCTGAGTGTGATTCTCTGTTGACTGGGGGTAGCCAAAAGGGTTTTTCTTTAATCTGTGAGTCGAGATTATTTGCTGTAGTGGTTTTATTGTGAAAAAATTCCTGAAGTCTTAATCTGTATGCAAATTCTTGTAGGTCAGAAATAACTTTGAAGCTCTCTATATTTTTAGGGATAGGAAAAAAATTTAGACCCTTACTGAGAAGTTTATGTTGGGATTCAGTTAATATTTTAGAGGACAGACTTATGACATTGAAAGTGTTCTTGGATTTGAGTTGCTTGGACCAGGAAGTGACTGAATTAGATGAGTTAGGTGTAGCTTTATTGTATTTTTGGAATTATTAATCAACAGCTCACAGCTAGTAATAATATGGGTTTCTTTAAAGTTAGTATTTTGTTGTATACAGACAATAAAGTTTTTTGGGGGAAATCCTTTATCTAATGTTAAATGGAAAGATTGTGATGTGTTTGTTGGTTGTTGGTGTTAGCATGATTTTTGAAAGTATTTTTTGTTTTAGTAATAAATACATAAAGTTATTTAGTATGGGAAATTATACTTTCATATTGTATAACAGAGATTTTCTTGTCAAGACTAGCTATTGTGGATTTTTAAAAGCCTTGTGTGAGTTTTATAAGTGTAACAGAGGTGGAATGGAGGATTTTTTTCCATTGTTTTGGACTTACTGGAAGGCTGCTAGGAAAATAATGAATATCAGGGAAAAAATTTTGTTCAAGATGTACAAAAGATCCTGCATTTGGAAGAAGAGAAGCTTCAGAGATTGTAAAGTTCGGAAAGTTGTCAGGGCTTACTAGAAAGTTATTAGGAATAAAAGTGAAAGTTTTAACTTCTCCATAAGTACAGCACTTAGGAGAATGGTCAAATGTAGAATTTCAAATAGTTCCAGAAGAAGTGATAAAAATGGGGTTTGTAAGTAAATAGGTGCTGCCTACTGATGTATGCACTTTGGGTTGAAAGGTTGTGAAGGAGGCAGGATTCTTGGATTGGGTGTCAGGTGTAATGCTTAAATAAGGTTGCTACAAACATAAATGGAAGCTGTAACTTCTGCATAAGTACAGCATATTAGGAGAAGGATTGCATTTAGTTCCAGGAGAAGCAGTGATAGAAATAAGGTTTCAAAGTATAGTAGAAGTGTAGCATACATATATATACTCTTTGGGTTGAGAAGGTTTTAATGAAACAGGCTTTGTGGATGAGTATGAGGAATAGAAGAGGTTGAAGGAGATTTAGGTCTAGGGGTGTTTGGTGAGTTTAGGTTGGAGTATTCAGTATTAATTTGTAGACAAGGGAGAATATAGTTAGTAATAAAGAAGTGTAAGTTACAAGATAGGGAAATGATTCCTTTGAAAATAGAGTGTAAACTATCCTTTGCTGAGAAATGTGTCTTGGTTTCAAGTTGGTGTTGTAAAGGAAAAATAAGCATGGGTTATGTAAACAGTTGTCCTGGTTTCAAGTTTCAAGTTGGTGTTGTAAAGAAAAAATAAGCATGGGTTATGTAAACAGAGATCATGTGTGAAGGTGTTAAATTTACCTGTTTTCTGATTTAGAGAGTCATTAGTACAGATTTGTTGTCTTACAAATAGAACAGTATGTCTTTTGATGTCACAGTAACTAACATCAGAGAAGCAAACATAAAGGTCAGTATGGTGAGTCAAAATATGCAATTGTAAAGTTTTTAGTAAGATCATTAATTCCTTTGTGAAGAATTGGGTATTTTATGGACTGTGGCAGTAAAGCTGTAGTGTCTAAAAGGTCAACTAAGGTGGCTCCACTAATGGATTTAATTAGAATATGTTGGCTGTTGACATAAGAAAGGTGTTGATGGGGGTATTTAATAATAAAATCTCCAAAAATGGTATTGTAAGGTGAAAGGAGACGTAACTTACCTACATTAAACTGTGGTTCATGGTCTATGAGTGGAATGTCAATTCTGATGAAAGAGATAGCACACAGGATCACACACAAAGGATGCAATGAACTTCAAAAAAAAAGACCTAAAACTCTTGTTTTGGGTCTTTTTTGAAATTCATTGCACCTTTTGTGTGTGATTCTGTGTACTAACTCTTTGTATAACTTACAGTTCTGATAAAACTTTACAAGTTTATAAATTTCCACAAACACTGAAAAAATGCTTTATTCAGTTATGCTACCAGCATTTTTATGATTTCCTCATGACATGTCCTACAAAACGTTATCTAGCTATATAAACTACAAGTGGCTTACATAGTAATTTGTTATCTCATTTAGTTAATTTGACTGTGTAGAATAAATCTGTTTAATATATACAGATTTCCATTACCAGTCAGTGCTGTAGCAATGCATATGTAGGGACAAGTCCTTTCTTGTTTTTCTTTCTTCCTTTCCATCAGCTGTATCTCATAAACCACAGTATGCCTACTTCCAGCCTTTACACCAAAACACTTCACTACTCCTTATGATGTCTCTGTTCAACCTAGAGGCCCAAGTGATCCACAGTAAGTTAGTTACAGCCCAAAATATATGCAATGATACAGATTGTTTAATACTGCCCAATATGCATAACAATCAATGGGTGGTGCCACCCATGATACTAATTGTAAAAATAAGTCCAGAAACTAGCAATAAAAGTTTTATTCTAAAATTGGTGGGATGTAGTGGAAAAAGATTAGAAACTAGAGAGAATTTGGGATGGAAGGAAAATCTGCATTACCTATTCCTGCATTTCACCACCTAACTTGTATATGCATCCACCCTGTGAATGGTTGAATGCAGGAATAAGTAATGCAGATTTTTTCCCATCCCAAAATGCTCTCTAATTTTTTATCTTTTTCCATCCCTACATCCCAAATAATTTTAGAATACCATTTTTTATTGCTAGTCTGATTAGGAATGAATTATATTTCTCTTGTGATGGAAAAGAAAAGTAGAAGTAACTGATAAATATATGATCAGTTTTGATAGTATTAGGTCGTCAAGAGATTAATGTCGCATTTTAGAACACTTTCATTAACCACCCTCCAAAAAATGTACATCACGTATAATAGTTAAACGAACCATGTTAGTGTAGCCTATATAATGTGTAAAGTTTAGTATACTCTAATCCCTTATAGTGATGGCACACGACGAGACACACATTCAGCATGTAATGCTGTTTGAATACAAGAAGGAAAACAATGCCTCCGTAGCCACAAAGAATAGCAAAGGGGTTTATGGAAATGTTTCGAATGTTCATAAGTGTCAATGATGGTTCAGCAAATTTCATTCAGGTGACCTTATTTAGCCTTAAAAACTGTGATTGCAGGGGCCGACATGTTGGAATTGATATTGATGATCTGAAGACGCTTGTTGAGTCTAATCCAAGGCAACACACTCGTGAAATAGCCCTGAAAATGCATGTCTCTCATGAAACAATATGTAAACATCTAAGCAATATAGAAAAATCTCTATAAAAAAAGGTGTTTGGATGCCTCACAAATGGATTTTCTATGTGAATATTAAATGCCAAAAACAATGACTCAGTCCTGGAAAAAAACCCACTTCCGACTCCAAAACCTGTACTCCATGTGCAGAATGTGATGCATTGCATTTGTTGGACTTCAAAGAAGTAATTCATTTTGAACTCCTCAATCCACAGTGAACTGTCAAGGCAGAGATTTATAGTCAGCAACTGGAACATTTAAATCAAGCCCTTCATCAGAAATGCCCTTCACTCGTTAATCGGAAAGGTGTTCTTCTTCTCCATGAAAATACATGTCCACATGTGGCACATTTAACGCAACACAAGATTATGGAGTTGGGTTGGGAAGTTCTCCCCCACCCACCATATTCTCCAGATATGA